ATGGGACCTTAAATTAGCACAAAAGAATTTTAAATCATGCACAAACATAACAGCTTGATAGCTTGATTGACATAGTGGTGTAGTCTTGCAATTTTTTTATTGTATATTTTAAATATAATTGATCATATTTTTAACAAAACAAACATGACTTGGCTATTTAATCATTTCCTTCATTTCCTTGTATGTGAATGCTTCCATCAATTGAATATTCATGATGTTCATGATGATTATTTGATACATTTGATGTTATAATTGACATAACAAACAATTGCATCACCCAGGTAGTAACAATACCAAGGCCATGCATAAACAAACTTTAATAATGCCTGTCTACCCAGTTCACAAGAATAAATAAATAGGGAGAATCAAAAAAAAGATTATAGTTCTCATTGTATAAATAGTTCCTTAAAATCACAAATAAATCTGATGTTGATCACAGGTGTCAGATTTAATTAACTTTTCCTGTCATCAGCATGCAAGACGGCACAATTAAGCACAATTCAGCACCATAGAATTTTTTTTCTCACAGGTGAAACAGACTTAAACATGTTGAAAGGCTTTGGACAAAACTTTCCCTTATCTTCCTCTCAGACCAGGCTTGGCTATTACCATATGGGCATTGATCATTGATAGCTGGTATTTTTGTGATGATTGCTGCATGTTATTGCCACACTAGCATAAAAGTTGGCACCTGCAACTGATTGAGAATTCTCCAACTTGGAAGGTCGCAACCTGGGTTGCTGTTTTGGTTTTTCCCTGAATTCAGAGTTTTGAGTCCTGGGTCACAGTCTTGTCAGTGGCATGCCTACTCACCAACAGCCATACTCCATTTATTTAAATAACAAGTTCAGTTGGTCAAACAAAAATTAAAGAGATGCAGAAAATTTGGGGAAATGATTAATTTATAACATACCAAACAAAATCCAAACCATTTTATTTTACAGCTTTCTCCTTGATGCCAGTGATCATGGTAGCTATCACAATAGGAGTATCAACAAAGTTGCAACTTGGTCACAGAGCCATCTTGCCCTAGAGGTGGGATTGTTGCAGGTAACTTTTTGGCCAGTGTGCCAGCGGCCTTCTCTGGTCTGGTGCTATAAGGGAAGATTAATGAAAAGCATCCTTGACAATTGATGCAGTTTTAATGTAGCTCCAGGGCAGAGCGACCCCCTGGAATTCTGTTGCATCATCATATCATTGGGGCATTGCAAGTCAGATTAGCCTTGTGTACATGAGGAACATGTGTGAATGACCGTAAAGTGTTCAAGGTAGCATGCATGCTTCAACATCTCTAAAAATTTCCGATAATCAAACATTGTATATCAAATTGTTTCTTTTTAAATGGTGTATTGCCTTGACATCTTGTAATTATAATAGTATAATATTATAATAATATTATTATTGATTGCACAAAGCAAAATATTATCAATGAAAATCTTGTAATTACCCAGCAAGATCTGCTCCACATTTTGATTTCCAATTTAAAATAAAAGACACCTCATACATATCAATACAAATAAAAAAAAGTACCTCTGGTTAGTTATTAACACATATTCTTTAGGAGACTCAAACCAAACCAAAAAACAACATTCACGTTTTGTCACCTTGGACTCTGTCAAAAAATAAATTGTTTTTTGTTTTCCAAAAAAAAAAAAAATCAATCAATTTGCATCTGTCCTATATACCAAAAAAAAAACCAATAGGATAAATAATTAATGTGTACATGTTGATAAAATAACAAACTTCTTTATTAAAATGCCAAATAAAAGCAATAACAATAAAAGAAGACAAGAAAATGATCATGGTAATGCATTGGCTGGGTAAATGTTTTAAGGATGGTGGTGGTGGTTATTGCCCACCACTCATTGTTACTCTAGTTTCATTAATACATTTAACCAATATATTAGTGAAAAAAAACCAAAAATCAGTCAAAATGACCTGGAAAAATTAGATAAAGCTAGAGAGCTTGTGTAAGAATTACTTTTCTTAATGAAAATAAAAACAATATCATAACACATTCGTTGAACAGGTATTTTAATTATTGTAAAAATACAAGTTATCTTTATTATCTTAAAATGATGTCCTTTATATAGATTGATATAATGTAAATAAAATATAAATAATAATAAAAGATTGATAAAATATAAATAAAATAATCATAATAACTCTTATCAATCTATCTGGAAGATTTGTGGACATAGATAAATAATAAATAATAATTAAAGACACAAAATAATTGATGTTACAAATAATAATTAATTATATGTCATGTTTCCAGATGTAAATATTACTGTACTACACAAGATGTTTTAAATTGTTATGGATTACACACAGGATTTAAAAGATAAACTCAATTCAGTTCATCAATGTACTACTGCCATATATCTTATTGATAAGCTTGCATTAAGAGCAGGAAATAAGAAAACTGGCAAAGAAGCAGATACTGTGGAATGTTGATGGTTACATAAAACAGCAACCTGTCTGTTTGCTTCATTATATGCTACCGCTTTCTCTATTATAGTAGTAGCATTCTCCATCCTTTTCTTTAGCTCAATTTGGAAGGTATGAGATGCATTGTATGTACGAAATACTTTGGCGGTTAGTCCTTTCATGTATTCAGACAAATGTTTATTCAAATCTTGAGTCTAAATGAATTTTAAAGAAAATTTGAATTTATTAATAGAACAAACACAAACGCACACACATATATGC